TTGCCGTCCGTTTCCAGTGGGGGGGGGGTCCGGGAGCATCGAAAAAGCACGTATGGAGCCCGATCCCCCCCCACCCGAAATTCGGGTCTTCGGGTTGGGTTGGGGTGGTCTGGTAGGCAGTCATCCTTGGCATCCCCCGGTCCTCCCCAGCGGACTGTGGGCGCGCCCTGGGGGGGCATTCCGCGAGGAGCGCCATGGGCAGTGGGGGGGAAGACAAAACCCCAGAAAATATAGGAAAATATGGGGGATCTTTTTATTTGTGTGTATTTATTTGTGTGTCCTGGGGCCCCTTCATCCTTGGCATCCCCCAGTTCTCCCCAGCGGACTGCGGGCGCCCTGAGGGGGCATTCCGCAGGGAGCGCCACGGATCCAAGGGGAGGGAGCCTCCACGCCATCCCACTTCGACCAGCGCGGCCGTGGCCCAGCAGCTGATCCCGCGAGTTCCAATGACACTCGAGGAGGATTCGCCAGAGGAGGAGAGAGGAGGAGAAGGAGGAGGAGGAGGACGACGAGGAGGAAGAGGAGGAGGAGGAGGAGGAAGACTAGGAGGAGGAGGAGGAGGAGGAGGAGGAGGAGCAGGAGGAGGAGGAGGAGGACGAAGGAGAAGGAGGAGGAGGAGGAGGAGGAGGAGGAGGAGGAGTGCGCGCGCCGAACGGGGAGGGATGTCCTCAATGGGGGCGCGTGCGGGCGGCAGCGTACCAGCGGGTGAGATTCCTCCTCCTTCGAACGCTGTTCCCCATTCTCAGCATGTCCCCCCCCTCCTCCTTCACAGGCTGCAAGTTTGATTACTCCGGGCTCTTGCGGGCTCTCCATTGTTTTCCAAGCATTGTTTACCATTTTCGTTGCACGTGCTTGCAGTTTGCTGGTCCCAGCGACTACGTCGGTGTCCTCACGCCTCTCTGTTTCGCTGCCATCATCTCACCGCAACAGCCGCATAGCTTATGCCCGCTCAACATCGACAAGGAGGGACAGGAGGAGCAGCACGACGGCGGAACACGGCGAGGACATGTACCGGAAGGGCGATGATGAAAATGGCGAGGGTGGACAGGGGCAGGATAGGATGATGACGAGGACGAGTGAGGAGGATGGGAGATGATGGATGGGCTGGAGGGGCGATGTGCTTGTTTCTTGCCTGCGCTGGGTTCGCTGCGAGCCCGTGACCGGGCAGCCGCGTTTCGCCCACTGCTAGTTTCGTTTGCCTGGAGGACCTGCCCTGGGTGTGTACTTGGCCTGGCGTGCACGTTTGGGGCCAGCGCCACGCAGGGCCTTCCAGACAGGGCACTGCCTCCGAGGGTCGAGCAGTTGCAGTTGACGCCTCGCCCCCGGCAGAAGCCGGCGAGGGCGGCGGAAGGCTTATGCATGGAAGAAAACCAGGTATACACCCCAAGGGAGGTGATCGCCCGCGCACCGAGAGGTTTGTAAACCTTTGTAATCCCGTCTCTCGAGTGTGCTCGCGTCGATTGGCGTGTGGTAGTCAACGAGACAACGCCAAGGTATCATCGATTAGCGTCGATGAAGAGTCCATCAGCATAGGCAAGCGCTGGTTCGCAAGAGCTAGCAAGATGACGTGGAAGGCTCCCGTGAGCTGCCGCAGAGCAACGGCCCCGCAATCTAGCTTGGTAGCCCTCGCAGCGAACCCGCATAGTAAGGATGGGCCACCGTCCCAAGGGGTACCCTTGCATCCTTGACTCCCCTGTCCATCCTTGGCCACTTTCGCTGCCAGCGCCCCGCTCGCAAAGCTTCGGCGCGGACTTCCGAGGCCTTCTGCATCCTCATCGCGCGTCCTCGTGACGCGGGCCGGCTGTATAAACGTGTCGAGGAAGACCTCCCCGGAGGTGCCTCCCAATGTTCTCCCTCCCAGGTGCCGCTGCCGGCTGCTGCGAGCCTGGCGCCCCCCCAGCCCCCGCGGCCAGTGTGCTGCCCCAGGGGGGGCCTCGTGGGTGACCAGGACAGCCAGGGTCGCCCAGTGGGACGGGGACAGAACCTTCCCTCTCCTCCCCCATCTTCCCCCTCCTCCTCACCCTCGCCCCCCTCACCCCGTCCCCCACCCCCGTCCTCATCCTCGTCCTCTTCCTCCTTCTCGGCCCCGTCCCTCCGCCCCCCGTTTCCGTTATTCATTATCCTCTTCCTGATCGTCCGACGAATGAGAAGGAGGAGGAGGAGGAGGAGGAGGAGGAGGAAAGAGGAGGAAAGACGAGTTGGGAGGAGATGGGGTGAGGACGGGGATCAGAGGGGGCATGGGGGAGGGTGATGGTGGTGGCCTTGCATGAGGAAAACAAGTCCCTTCCCAAGCAAGGCAACACGCACCACGACCACGACGACGATGACGACAACGACGACGACAGCGGAGGCGACGCATGTGGGAGGAAGGAGGATGGGATGCGGAGGGGGGGAGGTGGGAAAGGAGGAGGCGAATAGTGAGATGAGGAGGAGGAGGAGGAGGAGGAGGAGGAGGGCGAGGAGGAGGACCAGTGTAAACCCAAGAGGCATCAACGACGTC